CTGCTCCCAGTGCTGGGATCAAAGGAGTGCGCCACTATGCCCAGCCTTGAAATGCATATTTTGAAGAACTTTTAGAAAGTCTTTTATGAAAGGGACTTAGCCACTGTCAACTGGTGACCCCTTAGTTTATTTCTTGTCTCTTGCTAATGCAGAGCATATCTTTTATCTTAGTGTTAATACTTTCTGACTTTTCTGAGTGGCTCTGGGTACATATGCAGGCTACGGCTGGATAAGTCCTGGCGTTACCATGTGTGAATACCTGTTTGCACACACCCGCGGCTTCATTGAATGTTGTGCAACCTTCTGAGCTTTATAACCTGATAAGTGAGACGTGGCAAGCCATTTTCCCTTCAGCTTGTATGTCCTTCTGAATGAGGTCACATTTCTTTTTCTTTTGTAGAGATCAGCTATTTCTGAAATCTCTGACACTGGTTCTTTTTTTCCCTCAAGTGTTATGGGTGCCCCTTTCTTACATTTTTATACTGATAGGAACTCCTAAGAGATAAATGTTCAACAGATGGACTTCCTGCCCTCCTGCAGCTTGTGCTCTTTTGGGGAAGACAGTAAACATGCAGATGTATGATTAGTTTAAGTTATAAATGTTAGGAAAGACAGTTTGAGGAAGTTTGTTTTTGAGAAGCTTTTTTTTTTTTAATTTTTGAGAGTTTGTTGAAGTTTGGGTGGGATGTGATGGCTAATAGTGACTTCATAAGACCTAGTTAGACCAGTGGTAGGAGAGAAGATGTTTTAGGCTGATACAACATGGATGACAAGCTGGGGGAGGGAATAAACTGATATGAGATAAGGAATAATGAAGATGACTAATTTTTTCTGTTATATCTGTCTCTGAAGTCTGGCATCCAGAACATTAGAAAATCCAAGGATCTGGGCTGGAGTGATGGCTCAGTGGTTAAGAGCACTGACTGCTCTTCCAGAGGTCCTGAGTTCAATTCCCAGCACCCACATGGTGGCTCACAACCACTTGTAATGGGATCCAGTGCTCTCTTCTGGCCTGCAGGGACACATGCAGGCAGAATACTGTATACATAATAAATAAATACATCTTTAAAAAAAAAAAAGAAAAAGAAAATCCAAGGATCCAGGGTTATCAGATGGGGGTTTAAAACAAGTCTTCCTCATGCTCCCACTGGATATTGCACACAGAACGAGTCTGCATCAGTTGATCTGATTAGCAAATGTCTTCAGGGCATCGAGTGATTCTTTGGGAGACACCATCTTTTTTTACTTTTCCATGTAACTAATTTTGTATTTAAGAATGAAACCTAGTATGTCATCTTACATTATTTCATATTTCCCCCAATGCATAATTACAAATTCATCTCATTTTCTCATGTGAAATTAATTTGTGATTCTTTGAAGCTTGCTAAATGATGCATTGTTTGCTACTAAGTTGTCTGTAACAATTTCCCCATTAGGGAGAAAAGCTCTTTGAGTGTATCCTTCTGTGTGTGACCAAATTGCAAATGTCTGTCTGAGGAGTCTACATGGAGGAAGACATGACACTCACTAAAAATGATTTACAGCTTCTTGAGCATTGCAGTAAATTCTTAAGTGTAAAATCTGTGTCTTGGGCAAAATGAGCGGTGACAGACGCGCTCAGCTTATTTTTGATCAGTAATTTCTTTAAGTGTTTCATATGAAATCCCCTAGCATTGAAGTAGAAACTGTAGAGCTATGGCTAATGTCTTCTACCAGGCAGCTAGACACTTGTGAAAAGCAGTGTGAGCCTTGGTGATTTTGAAAGTAGGGGCTAGCTGCTGGGCTTTTGAATTTGCTAGACGTGTATTCTCCCCTTATGTATGTATGTATGTCTCATGTTTATTAGTTACGATGATGACATGTTCATTGGAAAGTCTGACAGGAAGCAGAGAGCCTTTCAGTGGAGACTAAGTGGAGACTTCATGTGGCAGACACACGTTGTCTGTTTGTTTGCCTCTGCTTTGTACAGAAATGCTTCACGGATGCCGCTGAACACTGAGTACATAGAAATGTCTGTATTTTTTTAGTAAATGTTTCTGTAGATAGAGGTAGTTTCCATTGTTTTCCTTTTTAATATTAAAGTCTAGAAAGTACAGTTACAGTCTGTCTCATTAACCTCCATGTGACTACACACAGTAGGGATTTTAAGTGTGATACTTTTGTAGACTCACTGTCTTGTTGTACTTTTGTTCTTGTTGATAACAGTAAATGGGTGAATGAATGGCGGCATGGCAGGTTATTTTGTCTACTTCAGTAAGTATGTATGTCAGACCAACCTTCCTGACTGTGAGAAACTTGACTTTATAATCTGGTTCTTCCTATTCTTGTGGATGGTTCAAAGGATCACAAAGTAGGAAAACAGATGCTGCCAATGAATAGGTGAATGCACTAACCTGATTATTCCTGTCCCTGGCACTGCACTTAGGCCGTGGCTGCATATTTAAGATTCATACTGTTTTTTTCTACTTAGTGTTTTGTCTTGTCTGAATAAACTGTGCTAAGATAAACTAAAACTGTTCTTCCTCTGGCCTGCTCTTATTCTGGTTTTGGCCTGCTTAGGCAGGTTTTCTTAAAGGCCTGCATGAGCACACTGTTTTATAGGAAGTTCCTGGTTTCTGGGGCATGGTCTTAGCTTTCTCCTGTGATCTTTTTCCAATCACTTGGATGCCTATATTAATGCCAGTATTTGAACAACCCACTTCTCAGCTTTATCGTCTGACCCACTTTGTGTCTATTCTGTCATAGTTACAGTGACTTTAATGCTTTTTACAAACTATAGGCAGGTTTTGCTTCTTGACTTGTATCTAGATCTAGATGTTTTTCACAGATTTATCTTTAACATTTCTTGTCACTTCGGTTTCTTCTACATCTTCCCTCCTGACCTTTGCCTCTCCATTTGATTTTCTTTTTAAAGACTTCCTGTCCATCCTTATTTCCTTTCAGTCTGTGAAGCTGCTTTTTATCCAGGAGACCTTCCCTGCCCTGACTCGCCATTGCAGTCCGCCACCATTGGAAACACTGCTGTCATGGACTGGCCCAGACTGAATTATGTTCATACGTGACTTCTCCCTCCTCACTCCTAATGTTTATTAGCATCACTCTATTAAACACCTGCACCTGGGACCTCTGAGTCATCTTTGCAGTATTATCAGTATTCGTTTCTTTTTCTTTCGTCCAATCATATCCCGATTTCTCACAGATACGTTTTTATGAACCTTATTTCCTCCTCTTCATATTTTCTACCAATGTCTACATTATTGAAGCTCTCCATTAAAACCGACTTTTTCCTTATTGATTTATTTTGTATGTGAGCCTGACCTAATTTAAACTACTTGCTGATTACTAATATTAAATGGATAGTCTCATGAACTGTTTCCTCATAGGCAGGCTTCTCAGTGTTGAGCATGTAACTGCACATGCTGATCCCTGTTGATGCTTGCATTCTATTGGAGGTGGGAGGGAGGGGCAGATGGCAAACATAAAAAAAAAGTAGTTTTGGTCTGTGATAAAGGCTATGTTGTCATATAGTGAGGAGGTAGAGGGGGGTGCTAATTGCTTAGGGGCTCCTGGACACTTCTGGGTATGTTATATTTGGGTTGAGACACCGAGGTGTAGCTAGAACCATCTAGATCGATGAAGAGAAGCAGTATGAAATGACTTGATAATGTTTTAGTAGGAAAGAGGCTGTCTTTATAGTAACCATTGTGTACAGATAAGAACTCAGAGTACTATCAGCACCCAAGGCTTCCCAAGGAGGTGGTGTGTTACTAACAAATGCAGCTGGAGAAATCACCCTGCTGTGCATAATGTACAAGGCTTTCCTTGCTTGACTGTCCCTGGAGACCATTCAGGCCTGTAGGATAGGACTTCTTTTTTTCGCAAAATAAAACTGCTATAAATTGAAGAGGAAAAGCTCCATCTTTGCAATAATTTTTTTCTTTCGTTTCATTTTAGTTCTTACTAACTTGAAGTTTCTGTCTAATCAAGCCCAGAAAATAATTTGTTTCTAAGCAATTATTTCTGAAAATTTCCAAAATATGTGTTTATTAGGATAGTGAAATAATGAAATTGAATGCATGTCCACATTTGATGGGCAGGGATTAAACTCCAGTCCATGCTTACATCTTAGGTTACCACCCTCGGGCTTTGAGGTCCAGTGGTCCGATCCACACAGCCTCTGGAGTGAGGCAAAGTTAGACATAAGGGGTAATACAAAAGCATTACCTGAGTAAAAGCCCATTGCCCACAAGACAGAGGGTACAGCAGTCTTGAACTTAATTGTGTTCTTAAATAAATGCATCTTTTAGAAATTCCAGCTTTTTTTGGTCATGGCTTGATGAATACTTATAAAAGCTTCCTGGCTTTCTGAACTTTCATACCTCTCAAATGGACAGTCTGTGATGTTGAAGAAACAGAGGAAAAGACAGCGATGTTAATAATGAACAGTTAGCAATCATCATCTTGCATGGCATTATTGCAGAGGAATACTCAACAAACACATGGCGGTAGTGGTCTAGCTTCTAGCCAGTCCCACAAAGAGCTCAAACTGAAGCTCAGTGCTTAATTACTGCATTTGCTGAGGAGTGCGCTTAATTAACTTAGCAGAGTCCTGTGAACAGAGGTAAATGCCACTTTCTGATACTGGTATTGAAGCAGACACTGTCCTTGAAGTGACAGCTCTCCAGGAAACACTAGGCATATGGCCTGAGTAGGACACTTTGTTCACCATAGCTCCTGACATCAGGAGCCTTTCGATTATACCTTCGTGGAAAACATGTGTGGGAAAATAAGGGTCACCCAAGATCCTTTACCATGGGTGCTTCATCCCTGGGGGACCGAGTGGAAGTTCAATTACCTGTTTAAAAAGAAATGCCCCCCCCACCCCCCGCAATTAAGTACGGGCCGTTTGTAAAGATTGATCTTAGATGTTTATGGATTTCAGTTTCTCCTCAGAACTTTGTTGCCGTTGTTACCTTAACCTCTCTTTATTTTCCCTCTAGTTTACTGCAGAGTGGTCAGCTCGAGATTGTGACAGGTGGCTGGGTTATGCCTGATGAAGCCACAGCACATTATTTTGCCTTAATTGACCAACTGATTGAAGGGCATCAATGGCTGGAAAGAAATCTAGGTATGTGTTCATGTCTTTTTTTTTTTCCTCCTTCAGTGGGGCTGGTTTTGGGAAGTTACACTTAGGGAATCTGAGCTAATAGTCCTGGTAATTGTTGAATAATTTATTCTTTACTAATTGTATTTATTAGGTTATTATCTCAATTTCATAGACATGATAATTCCATTTAAGGTCATTGATCTTGTTTCATATCTTATTTATTGACTTGTTTCATTTGTTTAGAAGTTTATTATTTTAATTATATATTAGTTAAAACTCGATCATAAGAGGCAAAACCTAATAGCTTGATCCAGAATGAGTGTGGGAGAGAAGAAAAGGAAAAGGCATCTGCTCTGTCATGGAGGATTCTGGAGCTAGAGGTGTCCTGGTAGCTCCAGGCATGGTTCCATCCAGGGGACGTGGCTTACACTATTGAGACTGTTTCCTTGGCTCATCTTGTTTGTGTTTTTGTCTTTACCCTGGATTCTCTGAGCGATGTGTAAGAAAGATGGCCCTAGGCAGCAGAAATACTCCCCTACCACCCAGTTCAGCAAACAGCATAAGGTATTTTTCTTACTATTTTATCTCATTGATCTGATGAGTCAGGTGCTTATCACTGACTTGAGACAAGACTTGTTTTGATGGCCATGGTCTCCAGGGAGGTGGACCTGTAGGTGGCAGTCAGTTACACCTGAACTGTGGTTCAGGTCTTTTGTGTGACTGAACCCATGGGGAAGGTCCATCTGAGAGAAGACTCTCCAGAGAGAAGTGGGGAGGAGGCCATTGGGCCGACAGCATCAGAAGTTCTCCACAACTCACCAAAACCTAGAACGAATTGACATCTTCTTCTGCCTGATATGTGCATTTTGTAGCATGGCATGAAGCTCGTTTCAAATATTTCATATCTCAATATAACTTTCATAGTTTTCTTTGTGATAAGCATTCATGATTTTTTTTTTAAGATTTATTTATTTATTATGTATACAATGTTCTGTCTGCATGTATCCCTGCAGGCCAGAAGAGGGCACCAGATCTCATTGCAGATGGTTGTGAGCCACCATGTGGGTGCTGGGAATTGAACTTGGGACCTCTGGAAGAGCAGCCAGTGCTCTTAACCTCTGAGCCATCTCTCCAGCCAGCATTCATGATTTTTATTGAAGTTATTTCTAGATAATTTATTATTTAATTTTTTTTCTGTTAGGGATAAAAATTCCTCACTATTATAATTATTTATTTCCTATTTATTCTAGCAGTTTTAAATCTACTGCAAAGAAATCCTAGAAAACTTCCACACATACTAGTTACTAGCATTTCAAAAATTTTTTTTTCTCTTCCCATACCATTGTTGTGGTGGTAATTGTGTTTTGAAGCTTGGAGAATACATTGCAAATACTTCATCTGTGGAGAAACACTTTGCTCTAGCTAGGCTGAGATTCTAACCTCAAAGGCCTGGCATGTGGGTCTGCCCTTGGCTGTTGCTGGGCACTTGGAGTTTTTAAATGAAAATGACTTACTGCCATTTAAAGTCTCTTGTGTGTTTATGTTTGCTTCCTTCAGGAACCTGACACCTTTGTGTGTGTGTGTGTGTGTGTGTGTGTGTGTGTGTGTGTGTGTGTGTGCGCGCGCGCGCGCTTGTGTGAGTTGAGCACCCAGTGGAAATCCTGGCACTGAATGTGCAATGAATTTCTCAGTCAATGGCATGTCACATGTGCTATTGAAATTTGGTGCTAGAAGAACTATGTGTGTATGCAGAGCAGACTCTTTGGAGCACGTCAGGTTTCCTCCTCTGGACTTGGTTCCATGCATCTTTTATCTTTGATGCTTTTACTGTGTCCTAAGTCACAGCTGTGCGACAATATTCTGAGACTCAAGTTTTAACAAGTCAGCAAACCTGGGTGATTGTGTGGGGATGGGGGGAAGCTTACAGACCTATACACGATGGCCCCCGTCCTTAAATACTGAAATTCACCGTAAGCCAAGAGAGTCACTGTATATAAACCTCAAGTCTTAGTTAGGGTTTCTATTGCTGTGAAGAGAAACCATCACCACAGCAACTCTTATAAAAGAAAGCATTTAATTGGGGTGGCTTACATTTTAAGAGGTTTAGTCCATTTTCATCATGGCAGGGAATGTGGTGCTGGAAAAGTAGCTGAGTGTCCTACATCTTGACTTGCAGGCAACAGGAAGTGAATTGAGATACTGGGTATGATTTGAGCATATATGAGACTTCAAAGCCAGCCTTCACAGTGACATACTTCCTTCAACAAGGCCACTCCCACCCAACAAAGCCATACCTCCTAATAGTACACCCTCTCCAACAAAGTCACACCTCCCAATAGCATCACTTCCTTTGGGGGACATTTTCTTTTAAACCACCATACCTTACTTGTGGATTTTTCTTAATGTTCAACTTCTGTTGAAATATAACTTACATGCAGTAAAATGTATAAATCTTAAACATAGAGGTTGGTGAGTTTTGGCAGCTATACATATATATTCATTCAATGCATTACCTGCGAGTGCCCTCTCTTCCTCTTATCTCTCTCCTTCCAGCCAAATGCTCCATGACTCCTGTTTCTGCAGATGTATTTGCTTTTGAAGAGCTCACATATGGATTCTCAGCATACTCCTTTGCATCTAGTTTTTTGGCTCAGTATAATTTTCTCTTACAACGTGATTGTGACAGATTTAGATATAATAAAGTGCTCTTGTTTAAAGTCTACAGTTGGGTGGTACGTTATGCTCACAGAGATGCACAGTTATCCCATGATCTGTTTTTAGAACTTTTACACGTCTACACAACGAAGCTCAGATCCATTAGTGGCCACCTCTCTTGTGACTTCCCTGCCTCTGTCCCAGGCTCACACTAAACTTTTTGAATATAAACTCTGGGGATTGGTTCTAGAATTCCCCTCAGATAGCAAAATGCAGGGTGCCTTCAATGAAATGATGTAGTATGTACATAAAACCTCTACACTTACTTCTTCCTGCATATTTTAAATCAATCTCTATTATAATGTTAAGAAAAATGTACATGCTGTATAAATAGAGTTTAGGCCAAGAAAAGTCTGTGCATATTCCAGTCAGGTTCAGTTTTCTCCCCAAGTATGTCTAATTTCCTGGTTCTTTGTCACTTGTGGTTTTGATGGCACAGTAAGCAGACAGTATCCCCACCAAGTCCATGTGTTAGTTTTCTTTCTGATAGTTTTTGGGGTTTAGGTTTTATGTCTGTAATTCACTTTCAGTTAGCCTGTGTGTGTGTGATATGTGTAGAATTCCACATTTATTCTTTTGGGTGGTGATGTGCCTTTGTCCTAACACCCCTGTTGAAAAGATGCTTCTTTTCCTCTTGAATTGTCCTTGCGTTCTTGTTGACAATGTCTACCCTCATGCCAGGACCACATTATCTTGATTACATAGCTGTATAGTAAAATGCGATATTCAGAAACCTGATTATTCCAACTTAAAAAACAAACTTGTTTTACTCGTGTGTGTGTGTGTGTGTGTGTGTGTGTGTGTGTGTGTGTGTGTGTTTGTGTTTCCATAAATGTTAGATGACTTAATAATTGCAGAACTACTAGCTGTGCTTGGGGATGTGGCTCAGTAGGTAGAATACTTAGCATGCACAAGGCACTGGGTTCAATTTCTAGCATCACATGAACTGGACATGGTGGTGCATACCTGTAGTCCCAGCACTCAGGATGTGGAGGCAGGGGAATCAGGAGTTAGAGGTCATACTGGTCTACCTAGTAAAGTCCAGGCCAGCCTGGAATACATGGAACCCTATTGACTCACACCTGCTGGTCACTCCAGTTCCAGGGGATCTGTTGCCCTCTTCTGACCTTCTTGGGCACTTCATGCAACTGTGCACATACTTTACAGGCCGGCAAAACACTCTTATACATAAAATAAAAAGAAATAAATACAAGTTGTGATTTTGGTAGGAATGTGTGGAATATGTTGGCTAAACAGTAAACACTGCCATGTTAACCACACCAAATCCTGTTACATGAACACGAGCTGTGTTTCCATTCATGTAGATTTTTAGTTTCCCTCAATAATGTTTTCATGGCTTTCATTTTTTGTTTCTTTGTTGCATTTGGTCCTAGATACTTTATTTTGTTAGCTGCCATTGTAAATAAGATTTATTTGTTGATTTCAGTTAGGAGTAGTTATTGGTAGTATATATAACTCTGTGTGTTGATTTTTGTATAACTATCTTATATCTTGCCATGACCACAAAGCAGTGATTGGTTTTTGTGATTGGTTCTTGCATATGCTGCTAATTCATTCCTTTTTGTGGCTGAGTAGTGTTTGGTTTTTAAGTCAGATTCCTGTTAATGTCTGTAGTGTGCTTCTAAGCGCTAACTGTAAGACACAGGCTTTCACAGCAGTTATGTACCAGCTCTTTTTAAAGCCTGTTTCATTGTCATTGATAAATACTGGGAATAGAATTTCTGGGTACATTGTGTTTAACGTTATAGGTATGACAAAGCTTTGCAAAGTGCTTTTACTACTGTACACCTAACCAGCAATGAATTTGTTCTATTTTTGCCAACATTTCTAATGCCAGTCTTTTCAAGTAACAATTTCAGTAGAGATAAAATGATTGTATTGTTTCAACTTGCATTTATTTCACAGCTAAGGATGTTGAGTATGTTTAGTGTTTATTGTCCATTGTTTTGCTTATTTTGAAGTTTTTAAGTCTCACTCTTTTCAATTGGGTGTTACCTTTGTGTGTTCTTTGAGCCATTTAGCACATAAGATTTTCTACCATTTTGTGATTGTTCATTTGTTGTTTAAGATTTTATTACTCTCCTGTCTCTGTCTTAGTACCCCCCCCCCCCCCCCCCCCCCCCCCCCCCCGTGTGTGTGTGGTGTGTGCAGGTGAGGGCAGATATATGTGTGCATGTGTGGTAGTCAGAAGACAGTGTTCAGGAGTTTGCTCTTTCCTTCCACCCTGAGTTCTGGGTGTTGAACTTGGGTCGTGAGGCTGGCACAGCGAGTGCTTACCCACTGAGCCATCTTGCCAGCCTCTGTTCTTTTATTTGTAATGACACCTGTCTTAGCTTCTTCTTTGGTTGCTGGGATAAAATACTCTGACAGTGCAACTTAGGGGAGAAGGATTCCTTTTAGCTCACAGTTCCATGTTCCGGTCCATCAGGATAGGGAGGGAAATTCAGGCATCGGGAGTTGAATCCACCAGAAGAGAGCAGCGAGTGCAGACCTGTGCTCAGCCACTGTGTCCACACACGTAGCCCAGGCCCTAACCTGCAAGGAAGAGGTCTTTCCCCATCAACTGACATAGTCGAGACTGTCCCCCACAGATATGTCCAAGGCCCATCACCAGGTGATTTTAGAATCTGCCAGGTCCACAGTGACCAGTAGCCATTTTTTCTTTCTTTTACCTGTTTAACACTAGTATTTAAGACAACTTTTGATTTGTATGTGTGAGTGGCGAGTTTACTTTCTCTTTTTATTACTGCTAATAGTTTATATAATTTATTCTATATAGTAAATATGTCATAATTAAAAATAAAAATTGCCAGGCGGTGGTGGCGCACGCCTTTAATCCCAGCACTCGGGAGGCAGAGACAGGTGGATCTCTATGAGTTTGAGGCCAGCCTGGACTACAGAGTGAGTTCCAGGACAGGTTCCAAAGCTGCACGAGAAACTTCGTCTCGAAAAACCAACAAAACAAAACAAAACAAAGCAAAATCTGTTTAGTACAGTTAGTATTTAGACCATATATCTGTTTGCTTTGTTCAAACCTTCTGTAGCAGTCACATGCCAACAGTGACCATTGCCTTCTTATTTCAGATATTTAATGAAATTGCTTAAAGATACTAAATATTATAGTATCTATTATTTTATGTAGATTTTTTAATAGTGTTGAGAAAATTCTTTTTAGTGCTTTTCATTTTGCAGCATGTACTGCATTTTTTTTGGATATCTATTAACATTATGTGGTTTCTCTAATTTGTTCTGTGAGTGTGATGGCAGTTTGCTCAATTAAAAAGTCATTGACTTCCAGAGCAAGTCCCTTCTGGCTTGGGTGCTGTGGAGTTCACTCTTTGTAGTGGTTTTTTGTTTTATGATTTTTATATTTGTTTTCATAAGTGAGATTAGATTTTGTTCTTAATGTGCTACATTTATGTGAATTATTTATTGGTTTAATGATATTTAATGTAATAACTAGTCAGCATTGAACCCTTTACATTCCAAATATTTTTTTTTTTTTTTTTTTTTTTTGGTTTTTCGAGACAGGGTTTCTCTGTGTAGCTTTGCGCCTTTCCTGGAACTCGCTTTGGAGACCAGGCTGGCCTCGAACTCACAGAGATCCGCCTGCCTCTGCCTCCCGAGTGCTGGGATTAAAGGCGTGCGCCACCACCGCCCGGCTTACATTCCAAATATTTTATGGGCATTTGAAAAGCTTACTGCAACAGCTTATGCCTATAAGACCTTCATTCAGAGGTAGATTTTTTTTGTGATGCTAAAAATATTTCCATAATTATGGATATAATCTGATTTCTTTCTAAAATGTCAATTAAAATTTTCTTATAAGAAACCCAACATTTTAATTATTTATAATATAAGTTAATAATTATATGTAGTAGTCTTGATATTAAATAAACTTTACATAAATTGGTATTATTTGTAAAAATAGCATAGTAATATTTCAGCTGAATGAAGAAGAAATGGATAACTTGTAATTGTTTGTGACATACACTATTATAATAGTCTGAATTTCCTATTTGTTTTTATTATAAAAGTTTGGGTATTTTACATTACACCTGAACCTTCCTATTACCCTTAAAAATACTATTTGTTTAATGCCAAGGAAAACCCTGGCAAGTTCTGGAATCCAGCAGACTCTCCCCAGCCCTGACCTCCTTTCAGAACAAAGTTGTTTTGTTTTTTGAATGCAGTTTGCATCTTTTCAGTATTTTTATGTTTTTTTGGATTCCTTTTTCCATTGCACCTGGTTGTCCTTATGTGGTTCCAGTGATTTCAATAGGAAAAAAAAAATCAATGACGCTCCAGTTCTAAATTGATGGATAGATTCTAAACTCTCTGACATTTGATGTCCTGCTTAGAATCTTACTTTTCCCTTTATTTGTGATGATATTTCTTAAACTTCAAACTCATGAAATGTTCTAGGGCATTACTTGGGAAGGACTGCCATGCATCCTGAACATAGGTTCATGCAGGTTTTTTTGTTTTGTTTTTGTTTTTTGTTTTTTAATGAACCACGTGATAGTAAGTCAGAGGTGCTTTTGTCTCTATCTCTAAACACTTGATAGTGTATTTGCTAAGAAATCAGGACACTTTTATTTGTAATGAGAAGATAGTTGTCAAACCAAGAGTATTAGCAGTGATGCAACTGGACAGTCTAATTCGGGCTGCATCCGTCTCAGCTACCTCAACAATACTGTATATAGAGGCTGCTGTTCCTCACTCAAAGTCAAGTGTCTGATCCAGGATCATGTGTTACATTCAGTGGTCACGTCTCTTAGTTTTCTTTAATCTTGAACATTTCCTCAGCTTTTCTTGGGTTTCTTGACCACAATACTTTGAAGAGTATAAGCCAGTTTTGGTTTCTTTTGGGGGTGGTTTTTTTTTTTTTTTTTTTTTTGAGATCCATCTGCCTCTACCTCCAGAGTGCTGGGATTAAAGGTGTGTGCTGTTGCCACCGCGGCTACCACCACCACCCCGCCACCACCCAGTTTTTAAGTGGGTTTTGGAAAAAGTCTGTCAATCTGGACTTGTTTCCTCGGGCTTAGTTTAAATTGTTGCTATAGTATTTATCTCTTTGGCTAGAACATCCCAGCACTGATAATTCTATTATTCTCTACATCTTATGAGAGGCACATGATATCTCCCTGTACCAGTGTTGGCAGTGCTAAACCTTGATCAGTGTAAGATATTTGCTAAACTTCTTTACCCCACATTCAAGTTTTTCTAATTAATAGTTTGTAGGAGGGGACTAGAGAGATGGCTCTGCAGTTAAGAGCAGTGACTGCTATTCCAGAGGACCCAAGTTTGGTTCACAGAACCACACTGGGCAGCTCACAACCACCTGTAATTCCAGCTCCAGGGGATTCAACACCCTCTTCTGGACGCACTGATGCTCACACACACGTCCACATACTCTTCCCCAGTCTTAGTTAGGTTTACTATTGCTATGATGAGACACCATGACCAACAGCAACTTGGGGAGGAAAGGGTTTATTTGGCTTACACTTCCAAATCACTATTCATCACAAAGGAAGTCAGTACGGGAACTCAAACAGGGCAGGATCCTGGAGGCAGGAGCTGAGGCAGAAGCCATGGAGTGTTGCTGCTCAGTGGTTTGTTGTTCAGCCTGCTTTCTTATAGAACCCAGGACCACCAGCCCAGGGGTTTACCACTCACAATGGACTGGGCCCTCTTCCATCAATCACTAATTAAGAAAATGCCCTACAGGCTTGCCTACAGCCCAGTCTTCTGGAGGCATTTTCTCCGTTGAGGTTCCCTCATCACATGATTATAGCTTGTGTTGAGTTGACATGAAACTAGCCAGCACAATTAATAAAAGTAAAATACAATAAATTTATAGGCGATACATTAAGTGTGGAAGCCCATAGAAGTTTCCTTGTGAGATCTGAGTTTGCCTGACACAGCAGAGCTGCTTAAGGGGGTGATTTGACCATGGGCGAGGTTGCCAGGTGGGTGGAAGGGTCTGCACTTGACTGTGCCTGGGTGGAGGTCTTTTGCTCCACCCATTGGCATTCCTTTAAAAGTTCTTTAGCAGAGACAGTCAGGGCCCATTGTTTAAGGATCCAGGCCCTCCCGAGGCTATCCTGTGTTTCTGTCTGTCTCTCTTTAGCTATATTTCTATCTAATATTTCCTGCTGCTCCTGCTCTAGAGTACGCTGGGCAAAGTGGGGGTGGGATGGCCCCCCACAATCAAGAATAATAACTATCCTCCACCATCGTGTGTGTGTGTGTGTGTGTGTGTGTGTGTGTGTGTGTGTGTGTGTGTGTGTGTATTTGACTTGAGTCTCATGTGGGTCTTTGCTTTTCCTTCTCAGTCCCCTTTGCTGCTTTCTGTGTTATACTTTAGAATTATTCAACAAGGTTTCTTTTTCTCCTGTCTTATGAGATACTTTGTGTCATAGCTATTTGAATGATAACTCTGCTACCTGAGCCCAGATCAGCTTTAACTCATTTTTGTGACCCTCAGGCCTTTCATAATTGTAGATGTGTGGGAATGCTAAACAGGTGTTTGAGTGAAAAAAAAAAAAAAACCTGTGCACAGCTCTATTAGTTATGCCAAGTTTTACACTGTAAGGAGAAGACCTCTTTGAGTCTTGACTAACCAAATGATCAGATTTGTCCAATGTTGGATGAATATTCTTGTCCCATTAACTCTAACCTGTGCATTTATTTATTTTTGTCACATTTTATTCTCTATTAAACAGACACATTTTAGCTGATGGCTTTTATAACTGCTCTGAGCCATGTTTCAAGCATTCCATTGACCTCATTCTAGGTAGAGAGAAAGGAAGAGCATCAAAATGCATTGAGACTCAGTGAAGCATGGGGAACAGTTATTTCAATCAGTTCTGCCATGTGTGACATGATGGTGTTGGGCTGTTTAAAGGTGTTAATGGCAGACTGTTGAGATTTGGAAGTGTAACTTGAATTGACAGATCAGCTAGTTCCTGGGTTGTCTAACCCCACATGACAGACTGAGTATTGGTCTACCTCCAGTCACTGGCAGTTGCTTAATCATAGCTGTGAAGAGTAGGGAGTGTTCCATTTATCTTCAAGCCCAGGAGACTGTGGAACTCTGATGGGTCTCAATGTATTCTTTTTATTTCACTTACCATTAAAACAGAACAAAACCACAAAGAGAAAACTAACACTTCTTTTCTTTATCAACAGGAGTGAAACCTCGTTCAGGGTGGGCCATAGATCCTTTTGGACATTCACCCACAATGGCTTATCTTCTAAAACGTGCTGGATTTTCACACATGCTCATCCAGAGGGTCCATTATTCAGTGAAAAAACACTTCTCTTTGGAAAAAACGTTGGAATTTTTTTGGAGACAGAATTGGGGTATGTAGTATTTTGGAGACAGAATTGGGGTACATAGTGTTTGATGAAAGCCAATGATTCTACTTGGCTGAGCTGTATGGTCACAGGGGTTCTGAACTTACACCAGTGTGGGTGTCTTAGTTATTTATTGCTATGAAGAGACACCAAGACCAAGACAACTTACAAAAGAAAATGTTTGCTGGGACTCATGGTTCCAGAGGGTTAGAATTCATGATCATCATGGTGCGGGGCATGATATCAGGTAGGCTGACATGGTCCTGGAGCAGTCGCTGAGAACTTCTATCTTGAGACATAATCACAAAACAGAGAACCCGCTGGAATGGTGTCGGCTTTTGAAACCTCAATTTCACCCCTAGGGACAAACTTCTTCCAACACTACCACACCTCTTCCAATAAGGCCACACTTCCTAATCCTTTCCAGAAAGTTCCACCCACTGGACCAAGTGTTCAAATGTATGAGCCTATGAGGACACTGTCATTCAAAGCACCATACCACAGTGGGTGTTATTTTACAGTGCAGTGCAAGATCATCGGACTGCTTAAAGATAGTTTTTGTTATAGGACAATTATTTTCCTTTGATTTGTGTCAAGATTCTTATAAACATTGATGCTAATTCATGTTTGGACAATTGTGAAGTCGAGCGTGCCTTAGAAGTGGCTCGTCTCCACCCAGCTAGTGTTCCTTCCTTGTCTCTTCTCTCTGTGTCTTATAAGAAGTTCCCTTGATCAGACCTTGACTGTGTCCTCTCAGGGAGTCCTCACCATTCCTGTGTGCAGACAAATGGAAACAAATTTTACCCAGCTTTTTTCTGGAGACCGGGTTTAGGCCTCATGGAAGGTCTTTGCCTCTAGCAACCCCCACTGAATAAGAACATCTTAATTTGTTTGTTATTTATTACGTTTTTATTTTGAGATTATAATACAATTGAAACATTTCTCCCTTTCCCTTCCTCCTTCCAGACCCTTCCATATACCCTGCTTGCTCTCTTTCAAATTAATGTTCTCTTTTTTCATTAATTGTTAGAGCATACATATATTAATATACATATATTTTCTGAATATAACTTGTACAACCTGTACAACATTACTTGTATGCGTGTTTTCAGGGCTGACCATTTGGTATTGAATAACCAATTTGTGTGCTTTTCCTTGGGAAGACTGTTTCTCCCGCTCTCAACATTTCTTAGTTGTGTGTAGCTCTTTGTATCGGGTTTTAAGGCCTCTTGGCCTTTACCCCCTCCACTTTTGCACGTCCACTGGTGTCCTCCTTGCTCAGATCACCTTTGGGCAGTCAGGGCGCTTAGACGCTATGGGAGTAGCTTTGGACATTAGTCGGAGGCACACTCTCACAGCCAACTCTGTGCTCTTCTGACTCCTCCACTCTTTACCTTTCTTCCACAATAACCCCGAGCCTTAGCTGCAGGAGTGTTTCGTAGCTGTTTCCAAAGGGACTGGGCCCTACAACTCTGTGTGTTGATTGGTTGTGGTTTTCTGTACTAATCTCTGTTGCAAAGTGAAGTTTTCTTAATGAGGAGCGAAGACTAAACCTGCCCGTGAGTGTAAGGACTAATGTTTAGATTGTTGTTAGGAGTTATGCTGCTTTAGTAAAGTAGTGGATATAGATTCTCCTCCAATAACCACGATTTCACTATACCGAGTAGTTAGCTAGTTTTCTAGTACCAGACATGGTCTCCCTCTTGTGAGTGGGACTTAAGTCCAATTAGAGAGCCGTTGGCTGCTAAGGTCTGTGTGCCACTACTGGACCCTTAGGGTTGTTGTACCGTGCCGGTCACTGGTGTAGTTCGTAGACATCCTAGCTGGGTGGGACTGTTGTTGCCTCCCTCCTTTGGAAGCTTGTATGGCACTTCTGGTACTGTTGAAAGCTAGTCCTCAGGGAGGGTTCTTTCACGTCAGTTCCGGCATAGGGAGCTCTGGCATTGTTTTTGAAGGACACAGGTCTTCTGCGATAGGGACTTACCTTCTGCCTCTGGGGACAATCCAGGGCACTAATATAGGCCTGTATATTTTTTGGGAGTCTCATGGACAGCGCTGGACAACAACTCCAAAGAGGGCTTTTCCTGTCGTGTATTGGGGTTTTTTGTTAGGGGGTCTTTGGCTGTTAGAGGGTTGGCACTGTTAGCCTCAGTGAGATAAGTTCACTAAAATTATTTACATATATTTATACACAAGATCACATATATTACAGGGTTTTTTTTTTTTTTAAAGGTAGTTAATGGTATGATGTAAATCCATCTGGCCGTGGACTTTTTAGCTGGAAGCCTGTTTCTGTTTGCTCTTTTATTGGGTCTGTTTATGCTGTTAACTTCTTGGTTTAAGTTTGGTGGTTTCACTAACCATAGAAAAAGCATCCATTTCTCTTAGGTTTTCCAGCTTACCAGAGTTCAGGTCTTCAGGATAGTCCCATATAATATTGTGAGTTTCACTGGTGTCTATTAAAACATTTCTGTGTTCATTTCTGACTATTAACTTGGACCTTCTCTTTCTTTTGGTTAGTTGGGCCAAGGGTTTGTCAATCTTGTTTATGGGTCAGCTGAGATTTGTTGATTCTCTGTTTTCTTTCTTTCTGTGTTGCAGATTTCTCCTCTGATTTTGATTATTTCTTGCTATCGACTGGATTTGGATTTGATTTGTTCATGCTTTTCCATCTTTTTGAGTCCCGTCATTAAGCTGTTTATTTGTGCTTCTCCTGATTTTTTTTTTTTTTTTCTTTTTTGGCTTTTTGAGACAGGATTTATCTATGTAGCTTTGGAGCCTGTCCTGGAACTTGTTCTGTAGACCGGGTTGGCCTCAAACTCACAGAGATCCTCCTTCCTCTGCTTCCTGAGTACTGGGATTAAAGATGTGTAGCTGAAGTTTTTTTGGTCCTGTCTGGCCCACGGTCAAGACAAATCTCTCTCACCCACTAGTCCCGCAGCCGCTCAGACCCAAGTAAACTCATAGAAACTTATATTACTTACAAACTGTATGGTCATGGCAGGCTTTTTGCTATCTAGTTCTTCTATCTTAAATCAACCCATTTCTATAAATCTATACCTTGTCACGTGGCTTGTGGCTTACTGGTATCTTTACATTTTACTTCTTGTGGTGGTGGTGGCTGGCAGCATCTCCTCACTCAGCCCTCTTGTTCCCAGAATTCTCCTCTCTCTTTGTCCTGCCTATAATTCTTGCCTGGCTACTGGCCAATCAACACTTTATTTATTAACCAATCAGAACACCACATCCACAGCATACAGATATCCACAGCAAAGGTGTGCATCATTACCTCCCACCGAGTTATTTTTAATCTCTCTCTCTCTCTCTCTCTCTCTCTCTCTCTCTCTCTCTCTCTCTCTCTCTCTCTCTCTGTGTTAAAGAAATGGAAACTTAGCTTCATGAAGACATTTGGGGAAGTTTGAACTTGGTCATGTGTAGTTCCTGAAGTTGGAGCTTCTGCCCTAGTGCAGTGTGGCTCAGTCCAACTTCCATGCTGAGATATTGTTGCTGAGAGGCTGTGAGGAGGCCACTGACTACCTCACTCTTGGTTCCCAAGTAGTCTGTGCCCAAGTGTTTAGAAACTATCGTCCATCTGCCCGCCCACCCACCCATCCATCCATCCATCCATCCATCCATCCATCCATCTATCTATCTATCTATCTATCTATCTATCTATCTGGAAAAACTCACCATGCAGGGGGGCCCAGAATTTGCAGGGTGTTACATTATGTATGGTGTGACACCATACATCTTAATCTGAAAAACAAAGAATTAATTTGAAGAAGCTTTGCTTAAATAATTGGCATGTTTCAAGTTGTTTAGAATTATAAGTTGGCAAGAAATTATTGAGTAGTTTTATATGTTTATGACAGCTAGTACAGAATATAGAAAATATCCTGTATATAAGGAAATTATATTTTGATCAGGACAATATAGACACAACCAGATGCAGAATATTGAACTATGTAAAAGAAGCTGCTGATTGGTGGGTGTTAGGAAAGGTACATGGTCCATGTCTTGATCAAAAGAAGAGCGTTGGAGGTTATTACCACCACTTTTGGGACTTGTGACAGGCTGTATGCCTGCATCAAGTGTCAGAGACCATTGTCCTTAGTGTCATACTTGGGGGTGTAGTTCACTAACACTTGCAGGGCATAGCAGAAACACAGGTTTTTGAATAGTTTAAAGTTTGCCAAGGAAGTGCTTAAAACTGGTTAGGACTTCTCTGATAGGCTTGAGAATGTGGCTTCTTGAAAGATGTTTTCAAATTATGTGGAGCTTGTATGTGTGTTTTATTCTTAATAAAGCAGTTATTTTCATTGTTAAAAATGTGTTGATTGCTTTGTCTTTATTAAAGAAGCAATACCCATTGTAGAAGCTGGAAACACACACACACATAAAAGGAGAGGGCTGTTAAAGTGCAGCATCATACTCACAAACGTCTAGTCCACCTGGAAGTCTGCTTCTGACTGTTCAGGGCAGCAGTCTCATGCTGACATCGAGGTCTTAACTAAAGCACCGTCCTCTATCAGTAGATCTCCTTAAATTTCCATATTGGAAATTCCCCTTTCCTGTGTACCTTTTGTGATGGAAAATGCCACTGACTCATTCCCGGGGACCAGCAGGAGACACTCCATGAACTTTGCAGTGTTCTGTATCTCTCCTGCTGTAGGGAGCTGGCCTTTGTCCAGGGCTCCCTCCTCTTCGCCCACCCTTTCTTCTTTGTTTCTCGAGCTCTCCTCTTACTCCTTTTCTCACCTAGCCTCTCTGGCTGATGTAGCTGTCACAGTGTGTCCCTAGGAACAGATGTAGCAGAAGCTGGCAGCCCGGGGCAGACAAGGTCATGATTTTGCATGAGCCAGCTGTAACTTTGACTTTTGCTCAGGTTGTATCTTACAGGTCAGCAGTTGCTGGTTCATCAGGGACTTTTCTATTTCAGTTCTAGTAGATAGAAGAGGTGAATGAGGGTGAGCTACAGAACTTCCTTCAGCTGTGGCTGTGAAATGCTTCTGGGGTATAAAAATGACTGCTGATTGAGGGCACAGCTTGCGTTACCTAGATTTGTATAAAGTAATGGCATTTGAACAGTTCTGGGGAGAAACAATTTGGTGAACAGAACTATGTTGACTTTTTATTTTAGATCTTGGATCTGTCACAGACATTTTGTGCCACATGATGCCCTTCTACAGCTATGATATCCCTCACACTTGTGGACCTGACCCTAAAATATGCTGCCAGTTTGATTTTAAACGGCTTCCTGGAGGCAGATATGGTTGTCCCTGGGGAGTCCCACCAGAAGCAATATCTCCTGGAAATGTGCAAAGCAGGTATAAAAATACGTGTTTTGTAAGACACGAAGAACACTGTGGCTACTCTGAGTTGCTGAAGGATCGAATAAGTGGGTGTTGGCAGCCAACATTATCCTCACTCAAAGTTATTCATTTAAACCATATCTAAAGCAGCTTCAAAATGGCAGCACCTCAACCGTACCTTTAGTTGATATAATTTAATGGCAAGTGAACAGTGGTAGATCAATATACAATGGCTAACCTATAACATGCTGTTATTACCATCTCCTTTATACTCATTATAAAGGCTTTCTACTGTGTTTGATTGATTTCATATACTTCTGTTGATAATAAGACTTTTGGTCCCCATTGTACAAATTGGTAAGAAAAGCAGCACAACTGCAGAAACACATTTATTGAAATGGAGCACATGAAGAGTATAATTATGTCTTACCTTAATAACAATTTCAGTAATGGTGACTATGCACAGCTCGGATGAATACACATCTTTGCATCTTTCTGATGTTTTTGACTTATAGAAGACTTTAATTAGAATGATTTATATTTAAATAACATGTGAATAAAAGTCATAAGGATGGACCAATTCTTCAGAAAACAATGCACCAGTGAAGGAAACTTCTCATTTCAAGTTACCTATAGTTTCTTACTTTGCGCCTTATAAGGTTCAGTTCTCACACTTAAAATGAGAGATGTGTAATACATTAGTACATTATGTGTATATATTTCTTATAGATGTACATATATATGTATCAGAAATAGAGATTATGAATTTGAGAGAGAGCTAGGGGGAGGTTACATGGGAATAGTTGAGTAACTTTTTAAATAAACTGATATGGTAGTACATACACCAGGTGGGAGTTCTGTTTATATGTGCTTAATCTCATAAATAAATTAGGATTTATGTAGTATCATATCTATGTATTTGAAAATTACTTTTAAAAATGTGTAGTTTAGTAAGGTGGCAGTTACAGGGTTTCCTATATATTTAGGATAAACACACACAGATCATTCATACACACACATATTCACATACACACACACACATGAACAGATCAACAATTAAAGAAATAGAAGCCATGAATTTAAGAGAAAGCAAGGGGGAGGTTGTATGGGAAAGGTTAGAGGGAAGAAAATGAAGGGGGAAATGATATAATTATATTTTAATTTCAAAAATTGAAAGAATATTTTAAAAATATTTGGGAGGGAGAAAGTGATACTGGGTCATTTTACCTTGATGGAGTCCTTGTCATAAGGGACATATGCCAGTGAGAGCATACATCATTGTAACGGGCCTGGGGCAGCCCTCTTGAGTCTGTGAAGCTCTGTTTTGTCAGATTCTCACTTTACAGTGGTTGTGATAATGACCAGGTCTAGGGTACCTCTAGGAGAGGTTGGTCAGGCCTTTGAGAATGAGCTTGTGCTCATTTTGTTGTTAGCTGTTTTTTTTCTTTTGGGGGCCACCACCCAGCTCCCAAATAAATCACAGTCTCATTCTTGATTATAAATGTCCGGCCTTAGCTTGGCTTGATTCTAGCCAGCCTTCCTTAACTTTAAATTATCTCATTTACCTTTTACCTCTGGGCTTTTACCTTTCTCTATTTTTGTATACCTTTCTTTGTTTCTTACGCAGTGGCTTGCTGTGTAGCTGGGTGGCTGGCCCCTGATGTCCTCCTCCTTCTCTGGCTACTTCTTTCCAAGATTTCTCTTTCTATTCATTCTTTCTGCCTGCCAGCCCTAGCCATCCTTTCTCCTGCCTCACTATTGGCTGTTATTAGACCATCAGGTATTTTAGACAGGCACAGTAACACAGCTTCACAGAGTTAAACAAATGCAACATAAACAAAAGTAACGCACCTTAAAATAATATTTCCCAACAATGTTTACCAGAGGCTGTAGTGGAAAGAGAAGACTGGTGATGAGTGATGCCGACCTGTCCATGTAGCAAGCAGTTGTATGTACAGGTGCTCACAGTGTCTCAGGCTAGCCAGATACTTCAGTTGGGGAGGTCCCCTTTGGGGTCTTGGTGCCGCTGAAGGTGCCTGTTGGAAGAGGTGCATTATTAGCGACAAAACACATTTTGTGTAATTGCATTACTGTGTAACCTTTCACAGATTGTCCCTCCAAAAATATACCTACTTCTGAGTTCCAGTGATTCTCAAGTTACTTCCAGGCTCCTCAGGGGATGTGGGAGAATAATCTATGATCTATGTAGTACTTGTGTAGAGTTTTAAAAACTTTTTGAAATGTGAACTCTGCTGGTTACTTAATATACATATACCGTCTTTTTTTTTTTTTTTTTTTTTTGGTTTTTTGAGACAGGGTTTCTCTGTGTAGCTTTGCGCCTTTCCTGGAACTCACTTGGTAGTCCAGGCTGGCCTCGGACTCACAGAGATCCGCCTGGCTCTGCCTCCCGAGTGCTGGGATTAAAGGCGTGCGCCACCACCGCCCGGCAGTCTTTTTTTTTTTAAACTTGGTCATAAGAAGAAATCAAATATAGGCATGCCAGCTAGCTTCATGACATCTTTTCCCCCAGTCAATTAGCTAAAGAAAACTAGACTTAATTGTAATAGACAGGTGCCATCTTTTGATAGTTTTGGTTCATTGCCTTCCTCCAATTTGCAAAAGAGGGAATAGCATCCACCAATTTAAATTTTGACCTATCATTGTATTTTAGATCGCCTGTTTTCATTGAATATCAGATAATCTTAGAGTTATGGACATAGTTGACATTTGTTAGCATGGAGTAAGTAATGAGCAAATAGTAGCTACATGCCTTCAAATGTGGTGCTGGCCAGTTAGTTGTTCAGTCATCCATCCATCTCTTGAGTGTCTACTACATGCTTCGAGGGATAAAGTAGTAGCTGGCTGTTCTCAACTGGGCTCACAGGTTATGAAGGATGTCAAAGGTAAAGGCATGCCAGTGTTCATACTGTCTTTTCTCTCTGTTATAAGCCATGCATATTTAAGCTTTGTTTCATCTATCAGTCAACCCTTTTTGTTTTAAAAAAATTATGGCTGCCTCAGTAATGTAGGTTGGGTGCTCATCCATAGTACATGTTTTATCTATTTTTATATTTTCTTTTTATTTCTTTTTTTTCTAGAGAGGAAGTTCTGTTTATATGTGGTTAATATCATTGTTCATGTGCATTTGAATTTATAAGTAATAATCTAAAAGTATCTTTAGGGAATGTGAAATGTTATGGACTTGGTAACAAAGATTAAATATCTCACCAAATGCTAATCTCAGAAAACTAAGAATTATATATTATATGTGATCACTATGGTTATATTTTACTTATCAAGCTACTAAATTATTGCTAAAATTTTATTTGCAAAGCAGTTTCAGAGACTATAAATTTCAGAAAGTCCATATGGGATTCTAAGTTTAATTAAATGTTATTTTTCATAAGTTACTTCTTATTGATGTTCTTTGAGGTACCTTCATAAGTTTTATATTGGGAATTGGAATTTACTTTTGGATAATCTTTGAAGTGAAAATTGGAATACTCGGCAAAAAAATCATGTTTATCATTTAAACACTAGTTTCCTGAGCTTTGACTTTCTGCACACTGAATGACTCTGGGGTCATGTGCTTATTTAATTTCATTTCATGAGCCTATCGTCCTGTTTTCTCAATGGTGCCCCAACTCAACACCCCCCAAAGGTGTGTCTCCAGAATACTGAATCTGAAGTGTGAAAGCTGCTGACATCAGCACGTCGTGTTTGGCTGGTCTTGGGAGTCATGGTTCGAAGCCGAAGAGGGTAGAATAGCTAATCCAGAATAGCTAATTCAGCTTCCAAGCATGAGCTCTTGATCAAAAGGGCAGCTGACAGTGATGGCATATTGAGGGCAGGTGTGCAGGGAGTGGGTGTCCCTTTGTAAAAGAAAACATGAAATTCATAAAATATTATGGGTTATGATTTATACCTTTTAATCGCTTTCAGAGTTTGCTTTCTTCTGTTTTACCAGACTATTAGAATTTTTTTTATTAAGTTTGAGAGTGGAATATTAAAGTAGAGCAAAGCTCAGTACTGATCTATAGTTGAGAAACCCGATATCTTCCTATACGTGACTGCGGGCTGTCTGGTGTCTAATGCTGTGGCAAGGAAGGGGCTTGGTTCCAGGATGATGTCAGTATCTCAGTTCGCTGTGATTTCTCAAAGGAACATCTATTGGAAAACTGTGTGGTTTCCCTACAATAAGAATTTGTGGTCATTTAAAATAGACATTAAGTGATGGGGAAAGTCTGTCGTATATATGTCACTTTATCTAATTTTTTAAAATCAATGATATTTTTTCATATAATACACATTTGAATTCCTAAGTTTCCTTTTTACTGAGGTACAGTGTCAGCTTTCTCCTGGTATAATTTTTCACGTTTTCCCCTTTTCTTTCACAGGGCTCAAATGCTACTAGATCAGTACCGGAAAAAGTCCAAACTTTTCCGAACTAAAGTTCTCCTGGCTCCTCTAGGAGACGACTTCCGGTATAGTGAATACACAGAGTGGGATCTGCAGTATAGAAATTATGAGCAACTATTTAATTACATGAATTCTCAGCCCCAACTTAAAGTGAAGGTAATGAGAGGGTCTTGATGATGTCTTTGAAGTGGAACCTCCATCCTTAAATGAGGCCCCAGCACAACATCCAGGACCTCTGCCCTACATCCCAGGAACTTGCCCTTACCCACAAATACAGATTTACCATATCCTGTGATTCTGTTTCCAGAAGTCATCCTTTCTCCCCACGAGAGGACGTTTAGTGCTTGGGCGGTTAGTGAGGGGGGTTACTTTCACGTGATTTAAAAAAATGTGTTCCTACTAAGTCATGGTCTCTCTTTTGGGGATGTCCGCTTTATTCATAGCATGGAAAGCGCATTGTTTTCTTCTGGCAGTTGCATCCTGTGATGTAGTGATGTGACTGGCTGCTAGGAATGAGCTGTCGTGAGTTTTTTGGGTTTTTTTTTTTTTTTTTTTAATGTATACAGTAGTCTGCCTACATGCCAGAAGAGGGCATCAGGTCTCATTACAGATGGCTGTGAGCCACCATGTGGTTGCTGAGAATTGAACTCAGGACCTCTGGAAGAGCAGCCAGTGCTCTTAACCTCTGAGCCATCTCTCCAGCCCCTGTCGTGAGTTTTATAAGTGTCTTGTGTTCAGAGAATACACTTGCATTTTTCCTAAGTGAGAGGATCTTCAAAATAATCATTTGCTTGTGATTTTTACTGTTTTTTTTTTTTTTTAACTTGTGGAAAATTTAAAATATTCTGGAAAGAGCAGAGGTAGCTGCCTTCTCTTCAATGCTATAGCTCAGTCCCAACACTCATCAACTCACGGCCACTCTTGTTTCTGATGTGTCTGTCCTCTGGCATCTTTTGGGAGCAAATCTCAGGTGCCATGTTTCATCCTTAACATTTTTAGAGTGTTATCTCTAAATGATAAGAATTCTGTTTAAAGCTGTAATCATAGTTTTATTATCATACCAGAAATCAGAAATTATTTAGTAACATGAATCTGGTTAGGCTGGGATTTTCTCAGTCTTTACTTAAGGTAAGTTTCAATTTGAACAGATACTGCATGTGGTCAGCAAAGTCTTGTTTCAAATGCATTTTAGAAACCATATGTAAGGAAGTTCAATGTGTTTGTTATAGTCATATATCCACCCACAGCACAGTAGATCTGTGGGAGGAAGTGCTGTCTCTATGTAGAGAGTTTTAAAAATTCATAATCGATCATAGTTTATGTGGCAGGAATTAAGTAAATTTTTATAATACCATGTAAATGATTTTTTTTTAAATGTGCATTAGTGTTTGGCCTGCATGTATGTCTATGGGAGGGTGTCAGGTCTCCTGGAAGTGGAGTTACAAAGAGTCGTGAGTTGCCATGTGAGTACTGGGAATTGAACCTGGATCCTCTAGAAGAGCAGCCAGTGCTCTTAACCACAGAGCCAGCTCTCCAGCCCTCAAATAAATTAAAAAAAAATTATCCCAAATATTTACAATTATTTTTGCAAGGGTATGATGTTGGGCAAAGGAAATGTATTTAAGTAAGTCTGTATCCTCAAAAGTGAGGCTGTACATAATCAGAGAAGGGTGTGTGAAGATACCTTACTTTTAAATGCATCATTTTTGTTTTTATTTGCTTGTTTGTTTATTTTGTATGCATGAATGTGGAGACAAGAGGTTCACATTGAGTACCTTCCCTGATCACTCCTCACCTTATTATTTGAGGCAGAGTCTCTCACTTAACCCAGAATTTATGTATATGGCAACTGCCTGACCAGTGAGCTCCAGTGATTGACCTGTCTTACCTCCCTAGTGCTGGTATATAGGTGCATACTACTAAGTATGGCTTTCTTATGTGCGTGCTGGCGATCTGGACTCAGGTCCTCATGCTCTGTGGCAGGCGCTTTCCTTATCCACTGAGTATCTCCCCAGCCCTCTAAATGCATCTTATTTGGGAACGATTTCTAGTCTAGTTTCCTACTTGACCCTAACGAATTAGGTCATAATTTTATTATTTTCCCTTTTCTTGTATGCTCATTAAAGCAAGTTTAAGAATAGTTTAATGAAATATCATATACAGAAAATTGTATAAACTCTAAGTATGCAGAGAATTTTTTTTTTAAGCTTAAAAGACTTCTTTGTAAGCATCACCCATCATCCAGCTTAGGACTCACACCCCAAAGCAGCTTCTCAGGGCCCCTCCCACCTAGCACCAGCTGCTGCAGAAACACCCTGAGTTCTCACTCCCATCCCTTGTTCTTGAGTTTCTGAGGACGGGAATCACAAGTTTCTGCCTGTTCTCTTTTAGATGATGTTTGAGTTTCAACCGCCCTCTTCATTCCTTTTGAAAAAGTTACCTCTTCTATTTTTCGAGATTATAATTACATCATTCCTCCTTCCTTTTTCTCCCTTCAGACCCTCCTGTATGCTCATCCTTGCTTTTTCAGATCCATGACCCCTTTTTCAAGTTAATTGTTGGTATATATATTTTTATGTATACATATATCTCCTTAAATGTAACCTGCTCAGTCTGTATAATGTTACTTGTGTATACGTTTCCAGGACTGCCCATTTGCTATGGAAGGTATTGGCCATAGGTATTGAAAGACTATTTGGCTCCTCTCAGCATTTCTCAACTGTCTGTCATTCCTTGTGTAGGGTCTTTCCCCATCCACTTTGCGTGTCTTCTTGTCCTTGTTCAGCTCATGTTCAAGCAGTCATGTTGATGAGACTTCGTGTTACCAGAATTGGCTTTTCTAGCATTTTTATTCTTTTGAAAATTATTTGTTTTTATTTTATGTGTTTGGGTGTTGCATGTGTGTCTGTGTACTACATGAATGAAATGCTCCAGGAGGCCAGAAGAGGGTGTCAGATCCCCTGGAACTTGAGTTACAGAAGGTTGTGAGCTGCCATGTCTGTGCTGGGAACTGAACCCAGGTCCTCTAGAAGGGCAGCTAGCATTCTAACCAATGAGCCATCTCTCCACACCCCACCTTCTATTTGCATCCTCTAGTAGATGTGTTAGGCGTTTTGTCTGGGTGGCAGATGCCAAAGAGAAACATCTTAAACATGGGGAGGATTTCTCATGGCTCACAGTTTCAGACGTCTTGGTTCCTTGTTTCTGTGTTTCTGGCCTTGTGAGGCAGCTACACATCACGGTTGGAGGGCATGGTAGAGGGATGCTGAGGGTCCCAGTTCTGCCTTGGAGAGCACACCCCGTGAGCTGCTTCCTCTACATAGGTCCTAAGAGTCCGTCGCCTGCTACTGTGCTTCCAGATAACCCAGTGTTCAAGCTGAACCTTTGGGGAACTCCAGAGCCAAGCCATAGTACTAGACCTGGTTGTTTAGTTTTCCTTTCCCTGGACACAAGTCAGTTGCTGTCATGTCTTCTTTTCTTTTGGTGTGTGTTTATTGCACTGTATGATCGATTCCTCTGTGGTGTTTTCATACCTGTATGTCGGGTGTTGTGTTCATGTTATCCATACTCATCTCTGCTTCTTCCTCTTGAGAGTCTCGTTCTGCTCTTTGCTAACCCCCTTTCTAGTTCCATTTTATTTTTCCTTTCAGAGTCCACACAGGACAGAAAACGTTACAGTTGTTTCTCTGACTTTCTGAGTCGGAATGATTTCATTTATTGGGATGATCTCCAGGTCCACCCATTTGTGTCCAGGATGGTCGTTGATGATGTCGATCCTCCTCTTCCTTCTCCTCCTTTTTCATGGCTGAGTAATAATCCATTGTGTGTATGTGCCACATACCCTTTTCCATTCATCCATTGATAGACATCTAAGGCAGAATCCATAACCTGGCTGTTGTAAATGGCACTGCAACAAACATGGGCATACAGGTATCTGTATTGCACACTGCCTTAGTCCTCCAGCTTAAACTTTGTGCATTTCAGAGTTAGATCCACAGTCATCTCTGGAATAGAGTGCAGTGAACGGTGTGATCAAGATTTAGAATTTTGCTTATGACAGTGATTCTCAGCCTCCTAATGCTATGACCCTTTAGTACAGTTCCTTGTGTTGTGGTGCCTCTTAACCAAAAAATTATTTTTGTTGCTACTTCATAACTGTAATTTTGCTACTGTTATGAATCTAATGTAAATATCTGTGTTTTCTGATGGTCTTAGGCGACCCCTGTAGAAGGGTCATTCAGCCCCAAAAGGGGTCGTGACTCACAGGTTGAGAACCATTGGCCTGTGAGGATACGCAGGGCATAGTCTTTCGTAGTTTTGTATATGTCTAGGTAAACCTTTTAATTTCTGCAAAACAAACAAAAAACCTGCCCCAAACTTGGCTCTCTTGTTAGAATTGTATTGTGTCTGTGGTTCTGGATGAATGCAGTCAACTTTTTGAAATCATGAACTTGATATATTCTGTGTATAAAGTGCCGTTGGGCTTTGTAGTTTAACGTTCTATCTAGTAACCTTGTAATAAATTTGTTTGATGACTTTAGTTGTGTGTGGATGTTCGCTGCTTGCTGTCGCATTTGTTGGAACCCCTTCATCAGATCGAGACCCTCCTCTAGCTGTTCCTCATTTTCATTGTTTCTCACTTTTTTTTCTTGACAAGCTGCTGAGGTCTTTCAATCGTCCTTCTTGTGGGTCCTCTGCTAGGTCTTCGTGTCTCATGCAGTGAGTGGACAAGGACCCCTGTGGAGTGTGGTGGATACCCAGCCCTCCCCATGTGCTGCCTCTTCCAGTGTTCTTGTCTGGTCTCAGTCTGTTTCTCCAGCTTTGGCGGGTCTTTGGTACCAGCCTCGCAGGTCTTGTCGTTCATGCTGCTTACTTCTGCTCAGTTCAGGGGCGGTCCACTTTGTGAATGGCCTGTTGTTCTGGAAGCCTCTCCGTTCTCTCACAGGAATAGAGGCCAGGAGAAGTGTGGTATGTGAGATGCCGAGTGGCTAAAAATGTTTCCAGATTTCTAGAGCATTTTGCACTTTTCAAATTTGTACTACTGTCCTGTCTAAGAGTTAGTTCACTCTGAATTCCTCAACACTTTGAGCCTTTCTAGGTTTTTGGGTCTATAGACTTGTAGATCTAAGTATTTCTTTAAACTGCTTAGGTAGGCACGTTTTCTCTTAGTTAAATGTGGGCTGTGGTGCAAGTCAGAGGAGGGGTCAGTGGCATCCTCCACCCCCACGTTTCACTCATGAGTGTACCCGAGTCAGTGACACCATCTACCCCCACGTTTCACTCATGAGTATACCTGGCATCCTCCACTCCCCATGTTTCACTCAGGAATGTAACCTTTGTGTTATGTCAACCTGGAAAAACTCTTCCTAAATACTTACTGAGTTTTCCTTTCTGTGTAAGAAGTAATCACTTTAAGATATAAATGAGTAATTGAAACACAACTCTTTTAAACTTTATTTCCTAGATTCAGTTTGGAACTTTGTCTGATTATTTTGATGCACTGGAAAAAGCAGGGGCAAAGGAGAAGAAGGGTAGCCAGTCCCTGTTCCCTGTCGTGAGTGGAGACTTCTTCACCTACGCTGACCGGGATGATCATTATTGGAGCGGCTACTTCACATCCAGACCTTTCTACAAACGAATGGATCGAATCGTGGAATCTCGTTTAAGGTACCAGACCTTGAAAAACTCTGTTTATTCTTTTACCCCGCCATTTTTGTAAAATGCCTGGAGAGAGGCCTTGGCGGGTGGAGCCGCGGTGGAAAGTCACTCACACCATGCAGACGCGGCACTCACGGGGAAAGTTTTATTAGGGGAGGAAGGAAGGGGGGGAAGAAAGAGAAAACGGGCAGGGTCTGAGGAGAGGAGAAGAAGAAAAAGAAAAGGAAAGAAAAGGAAGGGAGGTGATGCACACTACCTCATGGCGAGAGAGGAAGGGAGATAGAAGGGGGAGGGGCTTTCTCTTAAAGAGGATGACGTAAGATGACGTTGTCAGGGCACTGGGCGGGCCAGGGGCGGGTCTGAATGCTAACAACTGCAGCATTTTAATAGAGTTTTGCATACATCCTTTATGTGGTGCTATATATTTAATGTAATTACAAAGTTTTAATGCAGTCAGAATATGTCTCTATAGTGTAATCAAATTATCACACTTTTTTTGTTCTAAGGGAAAAACACTTTATTAGATTGTGTTTTCTTCGATTTGTATCCTGTATTTTTCTAGTTAATTTTCCTGTATTGCTTCTGTGTTGATAGTGGGTGGTACGACCATGTGATCTGCAGGCAGGTGTAACCTAGCAGGCTGAACTGTTAGAGTCAAATAAGTGCGTAGGACTTCTCAGCAGCTGCAAGTGGGCCTCTGAGTGCACGCTCTAACATGAGTGTATTTTCTGTGTGGGAGAACTTCAGAGGCTCCATGTCAGGTCTGGTGCATTTTAAGTACCTTTCTATGGATATGGTTCTTCTGCTTAGAAGAACAAAATTTGAAAGAGAGGAGAATTGGTCGGACAAGCAAATGATTGAATAAGTCAGCTGGTTCTGTGGTGATGGCAGTAGAAGAGAGCCTGAGATAGCATGGTCAGGTGGAGCTAGAAAAGAGCCTGAGATAGCATGGTCAGGGGGAGCTAGAAAAGAGCCTGAGATAGCATGGTCAGGTGGGGCTAGAAAAGAGCCTGAGATAGCATGGTCAGGTGGGGCTCTCAGTCACTGCCAGAGAGCTCTGCTTTCTGTGATGTCCACTGTGAGGGCTGTTACACTTGGGCACTGGAAATGTGGCCCGTGTGCCTGAGAGCTGGAGTCTGCATTTTATCCACGTGCCTCTAGCCACATATGGTCACATTAGGAAACGGCTTTCTGAGAAACCACAGGCGGACGATCTGTGAAGTGAACTACCCTGAGATGCCTACGTCTTTCTTCCCCTTCACCTGTGACCCAGTTGAGAAATTTATTTTCATGATGGTCTTTAAAAAAAAAAAGGATTTGTTTTTTTTTATGTATATGTGTGTTTTACTTACATGTATGTATATATATGTGCATCATGTGTGTGCCTGATGCCTGCGGAAGCCAGAAAAAGGTATTAGATCCCCTGGAACTGGAGTTACAGATGGTTATGAGCTGCCTTGTGGGTGCTGGGAACTGGGAGCCGAACTCAGGTCCTCTTGGAAGAGCAGCTCGTGCTCCGAACCACCCAATGAGCCGTCTCTCCAGCCCTTCCAAGCTGCGTCTTGCTGTTAAAATCAAATTAAATCTTACCCATCATCCTCTTCCATGTGTTAGTGTCTTATCAATACACTTTAGAAAGACATTTTTTAAAAATCATGAATTTCTTTAAGACAATATCTCAGGTATGAAAGAAGAGTATTTATATTTATAATATATTTATTACATGTATTAAATTTACACTATTATAAAATAGTTTTCATATACTGAAAAGATATCCATAAAGTAATCACTGTTATTATAAATTTTTTATGATAAAGTAGAATAAATAGTATAAAGATTTATACTAATGAATTAGTGATTTTTAAGTGTTATTTATTTTCTGATGGCAGAGAGTTGTGAATATATTAGTGAATATAATAAATTTCATAAAGTGTTTATGAAATATATTCAAACTCAGTGGCTATAACTAAGAATGTATTTTTAAATTATGCTTTATGACAAAGCAAAAAGTACACAGTAGTTTTGAATTTGAGTATATTAATTTATGTAAAAACAAGCTTATTGTCTGGTAGTAATATTCCATTCTCATTTGTAAAGTGTAGATAGAAATAGAAAGGTATAATGAAGAAAATAGACCTGATAGTTTGACATAGTGCTGTAGTGTTACTGAAAATGTTTGAGGCCCCCGTTAGTTCCTAGCACATATTACACACAAGGGAAAAGAAGCATTTCAGAATCTTTAGTAGAATATTTTGAGATAGCCCTATAGTGCCATGGTTCTCAACCTTTGGGGGTCACAACCCCCAAGGGGATTACTTATCAGTATTAGATAGTTATGTTATGATTCATAAAAGTAGCAAAATTACAGATATGAATTAATAACAAAATAATTTTACGATTGGGCTCACTACAATGTATTAAAGGGTCGCAGCATTAGGAAGGTTGAGAAGCACTGGTCTAGTGTGTTTACTGTTTTCCAAAGCAGGAATGTTTACCATGGATGCCAGTGGGTATACATACGATTTGTTTAACTCTGACCTGTTCATTCCCATGGCATGAGTCTGGAAAAGAAATTTGAAATGGTGGTTTTTTTCTATCTTTTCCGTATTTCTACAATTTAGATAGCTCATGGCTTTTTACAAAAAAGCATTTCTAATGTCTCCTTTTTTCCTGAATATTGATACATTTTTAAGATGACTTCATCCATTCTCTCTAACATGTTTATTATGTAGACTCTTCTTTGGCCTTTTGGTCCATGTTGCCTTTAAACACATTTTAAAAGAAACCCATTATGAAGCATAATGTTTCAAAACCATAAGCTCACATTCTTTTTTTTTTTTTTTTTAATTTTTTTTTTTAATTTATTTTAATTTATTTTGCAATACAATTCAGTTCTACATATCGGTCACGGATTCCCTTGTTCTCCCCCCTCCCGTCCCCCTCACCTTCCCCCCAACGCCCCCCCCATTCCCATCTCCTCCAGGGCAAAGCCTTCCCCACAGACTGAGGTCAACCTGGTAGACTCAGTCCAGGTAGGTCTAGTCCCCTCCTCCCAGGCCGAGCCAAACAATCCTGCATAGGCCCCAGGTTTCAAACAGCCAACTCATGCAATGAGCACAAGATCTGGTCCCACTGCCTGGATGCCTCCCAAACAGATCAAGCCAATCAACTGTCTCACCCATTCGGAGGGCCTGATCCAGTGCACAATGGAAAAAAGAAAGCATCTTCAACAAATGGTGCTGGCAAAACTGGATATCAACATGTAGAAGGCTGCAAATAGATCCATATCTATCACCGTGCACAAAACTTAAGTCCAAGTGGATCAAGGACCTCAACATAAATCCAGCTACTCTGAACCTGCTAGAAGAGAAAGTAGGAAGTAGTCTTGAACGCATTGGCATTGGAGACTACTTCCTAAATAGAACACCAGTAGCACAGACTCTGAGAGAAACAATCAATCAATGGGACCTTTTGAAACTGAGAAGCTTTTGTAGAGCAAAGGATACGGTCAACAAGGCAAAGCGACAGCCTACAGAATGGGAAAAGATCTTCACCAACCCCACATCTGACAGAGGACTGATATCCAGAATATATAAGGAACTCAAGAAATTAGACATCAAAATGCCCAACAGTCCAATTAAGAAATGGGCTATAGAAGCTCACATTCTTGTCCCAAAGCCATTCTAATCTTTAAAACGTATGAAAAAGACAGACATAGTGCTTTGGGCCAGCACCCAAGAGGCCAAGGTAGGAGGATTTGCAGGAGTTGGAGGCCAGTCTGGGCTACCGAGTAGAACCTGGTCTTGAAGAACAAAACAAAACTCAAAACAAAAAAGTTCATTACAACAACTGTCTTACTTGCTTTTCATGGTAGTTTGTCCTCATAGGCTCATAGATTTGAATGTTTGGTTCCCAGTTGGTCGAACTGCTTGGGAAGGATTAGTGGGTGTGGCCTTGTTGGAGGAGGTGTGTCACTAGGGGATGGGCTTTGAGGTTCCAAAAGCTCACACCAGGCCCAGTCTCACTCTGCCTGCTTTCATTGTTCCCACTGTATTATGTACAGTTGGACCTACCTTCTTACCAACAGACTCTGGCTTCTTTCCAGGGTTACTGTAAACACAGTAGTCATTGGTCGTTGAGAACTTAAATACAGTAGACAGGTACTGTGTTGGTTTCATAGAAAATTTTATCACTGGTTTCTTCTATATAAAGAATTTGCATTGAAATTGTATATTTCTTTTAAAATACTACATTTGAAAATCATCAGTGAGCCAGGCATGGTAGTGTATTTGTTAAATCCAGCACCACTGGGGGTAGTGGTAAGTGTAGGCAGAGATAGGAATGTCTATGAGTCCAAGGCTATCCTGGTCTACATAGTAAGACCCTGTCTCAAATATCAAAGCAACAACAACAACAGCATCAATGACTGTAAGCTAAAATGTTTGTTTCAGAAAATATATTAATGACTCTTTTATACACTTAGGACTGCTGAAATTCTTTACTATTTGGCCTTGAAGCAAGCTCAGAAATACAAGATAAATAAGTTTCTCTCATCACCGCACTACACAACACTGACAGAAGCCAGAAGGAACTTAGGACTGTTTCAACATCATGATGCCATCACAGGAACCTCGAAAGACTGGGTGGTTGTGGATTATGGTACCAGGTAATGTAATTATAGAAGCACAGCTTCAAGTAAAATCTTTTTGAGCCGTACAGTTGTGTACGTATGTGTGTGTCTGGAGATGAAGCTGCTAGTGTATCACATCACATACATAGTGTTGTTTGTTCTATATATTGCTATAACTGAACATCACCAGGTTTGCCAGAACACTGTGGAAGCATCACGGTAGCCCTAGCTTCCAACTTCAGTCTCCAGACGTTAAGCATTGTCTTAAAGCCAACCCTGCTTTTTTTCTAAGTACAGCTTGCCAGTCGGGTTATCTTCTTTATCAGGCAGCTCAATCCTGTTTTCTTTCATAGCAAGTTGTTCTTGGCTGCTTGAAATACTCTTAGAGGGACACTGATAGGAGAGAGCTGAGAGGCGGCTAACCAGGAAGGACTGGAGTAAGTCAGTTGTGTATGGATGATAAAAGCAGCAGGGAGGCAGAATGGCGGCTGGGGCACAGAGGTGAAGGATCTCCCTCACGGAGGGTCTCTCAGGCAACTGAGGAAGCAGGGACTTAGTTATTTCTAAAGAACTTTTAGATTAAAGAATATAACTAAAGAATTAGAAGCTGTGTGTACACTGGCCTGGAAAGGCTGAAATCGTTTTAACCAGTGCTTCCCAGCAACAGAAAAGCTGACCTTCAGTGGTGGAGATCTCTATCATCATGGCAGTTTGGATAACCCGACATGGGGATCTGTTCAGGGAGGGTTTCACATTGGATAAGGCATCTTACCTATTGTCTCACTGTATTTAGACTGTTGTTTCATCGAGATTTTCTTACCATCGTTTTGTTGGGTAGGGATGTGGAGGTAGAATCCAGTGGTAGAGAATTTATCTACCATGCTTGGGACATTTTAGTTTAATCCTCTGTGCTAAGAAATAGGCATAAAAGATGCTCTACTTTGTAATGTTTTAAAATCATCAGATATATGCTGTGATGTTCTTATACATTTAAAACTTGAATTGTTGTCTAACTATTCCTGTAGGTGGAAAGTCTGTGGAGCACATCAAATCAATACTAAATAATTGGTTTGCCATCAACATTACCAAGCGCTAAAGTTTTTATTTACAGTATTTTATCTAGTTTTCTAGAAACGAAGAGGAAACATATTTGTAAAGCTTCACTACTGACTTCAGTCCTTCAAAAAACTATGTCTAAGGCAGTGTCTTGACTAGCTCCTCAGTTTTCTCATGAGAAGCACGTTTTCCTGAACGTATTCTGTGCAGAGCTGGCATTAATGCGGCTGGAGTCAGTGCTTCTCTCATTGGAAGCAGCTGGAAAGCAAGGGCAGTACCTGCTTGGCCTTGTTCTTGCCTCGGACTTCCTAAGGATTTCTGAGTCTTGGACACACAGGGCAGTGGAAGCCATGCTCCTGCTCTACCCACTTGTGTTATCCGGCTACTATAGCAAAGGTACCTGACCACAGGACATTGAATTTTTGTCCACGTTCTGTTTGGTGACCTTTGGAGGAGGCCAACAGTAGGTCCCTGATGTGGTTTCTGATACTTGCAGCTTAATAAACCAGGCCCGTACAGAACTGCTTGTTAGAGGGGGTGGAAAGACACAGTAATTTTCCAATTGTACTTGACATTTGTGAATTTACTCTGCCAGTACTTCACACTTCAACCGAAAAGTCGTAAACAATTATCAAGTCATTAGCACAGACACTTTGAGGAAAGAGATTTCCAAACACATGTTAGAGAATTGGAGACAAAGAGGCAGTTAGCTCGCGTGCGCTGTCTTACACTCGCACTGCTGACTGCTGTTCATTCAGATGTTGGCAGGCATGTCCCTGGGAACAATTGTGCCAGTGAGGGACTGATGGCTGCTAAGAGCAATTCCAAGCAGGAGTAATCCTGCCCTGTTTATTTTCATGTCATATTTAAAAGTCTGGAGATCACCCAGTCCGTATGCCAACTCCGCAATGCCGGAAGGATTCAGGCCCTTCCAACTTCTTCCTCTTTCCCCCAGGGCAAGTCTGAGAGCTGTGGTCTCAGCAGTAGCCAAATATTTGCCTATTTGTTATCTTTGGTTTTTTGAGACAGGGTTTCTCTCTGTAGCCCTGGCTGCCCTAGAATCTGCTCTGGAGACCAGGTTGTTTAAGATGGAGGAAGAGAATGCCTCACGGTCCATTTGAGGGTTAATTTTAATCATGACATGGAAACAAATGAAGTGGCCTTGGACAGTGTGATGGATATTTAGCTGCACATGTAGATAATGTGGCTGATGGAGAAGGGAAGAAGTCAGTTACGTAGAGATTGAGAAGTCTTTCAGTCTCTCCTATGTTGTAATTATAGTAGCAAGAGAAAGCTGAATGAAAAGTGAATGTCGGAGTCCAAATGGACAGAAGAAACTGTTGACGGACAGACATGGTGCCAGCTGTTTAAACAGCAGCCATGCCCATGAACAGAAAGACCCCCCGAGTGGATGTTCTCTGGACCCTGTTCTGTGTTAATAGGATGAGTTCACGTGAGGATGTTAGAGACACGGAGAAGTCTCCCATTGACGGGAGGTTTACAATTTTGTACCGCCCTGTGTTTCCTGAACTTATTTACTGTGCTTCATCTGACTCTGTTTTAGACAAAGCAGCTTCGGTGTATCATGAGGAGCTGTTTGGGGAATGCTCCACTCTACTTCAGTGCTGGTCTCATTAGGACACCTTGTGTGCATGGGATAGATGTGAACATCAATGGTGCCTTTAACTCACTTTAATTAGGACTTTTTAATATGCTATGATCTGTGTTCAGTTTAAGCGATTGTTGAACATGGCTCTTGTTCTACAGGTTTAGCTGTCTGATAAAGATAGCCATGCAGCTAATAGAAACAAGTGTGCGTTGAAGGAATTATTTCCTTAACTAGACTACCTTCAGTTATCTGGTCTGATGAGAACACTTACTTCTAAGGGCAGACATGTGTACATGCCGAGAAATTTATCTGGATAATGGTACAAATAAGATTTTGCTATAAATGCTATAGATTTACTATGTAAGTCTATTTAGTTAATACTATTGATAATGTACACTTAAGGTTTCATGTTCTGCCAAAACAAGTCTTTTTTTTCATAATTGACTTAGAGATTTTTGTTTGTTTTGAGAAAAAGTCTGTATAGTTCAGGCTTGAGTTCACTCTGTATTTCTGGCTGGTATCAAATTTGTGGTGATCGTACTGGTTCAGCCTCCTGCATGCTGAGACTGTACCCATGCCCGAGTCTTTTATAGATTTTTTTTTTTTTGCTGCTGCTGCAAAATGCTAGCAAACATGCTAGTTCATTCTAGAATCTTTATGTATTTAGCTTTGTGAATATAAGATGGAAATAGTGTTGGTTTGGCCGTTGTTTTAAAAATGAAAATATAGGCCGGGCGGTGGTGGCGCACGCCTTTAATCCCAGCACTCGGGAGGCAGAGCCAGGCGGATCTCTGTGAGTTCGAGGCCAGCCTGGTCTCCAAAGCGAGTTCCAGGAAAGGCGCAAAGCTACACAGAGAAACCCTGTCTCGAAAAACCAAAAAAAAAAAAAAAAGAAAATATATACAGATTTTTGAGTTCTCAAACTAAAAAAAATTTTGCTTTACAGACTCTTCCAGTCATTAAAATTTTTGGAGAAGATAATTGGGGATTCTGCGTTTCTTCTCATTTTAAAGGACAAAAAGATGTACCAGTCTTACCCTTCTGAGACCTTCTTAGAGATGGTTAGTTGATTTCTTCTATGATTGTAAAAGCCATTGGGTTCTTTTGTTCTTGGATTAGAAGAGAGATGAGGAGCTCTGTTAAAATAATATTACAGTGTAAGAATTGTTTTGTCCATTTTTAAAGGATTCTTATCACTTGATGCAAATGTCTGCATGTTCAACCCTCTCTTCTATAGGTATGTTTGCATGTGATTTCCGCATGTCATTCATTCTGCCCACATCTTAGCATGAGCAATGACCCAGGGAACTCATTTCAAAGTAGGTAAAATAGATGATAGGCTTTTCCGACACTGCCTCATTTGAAGGCAACCGGCACTATAATTAGTTATTCTGCTTGGCTATAATTAGAAACCTCTTGATATTTGAATTTTTTCAACCCCTAATTTGCTTTTGATCAAACTGATTTTGAGGGTCTTTTGGTGTCAGGATAGGTTCATTGAGTGATGTGGACAGTGTTGGGACATGTCCATCGATGATACAGAGTCTAAAGAAGTAGAAGATTATGTATTTGCCTCTGTTGGGACCTCACCTTGAGGGCCTTGGAAGTTTTCCTAGTTCATTTTCATTATCTGTGAATAGGGTGGTGATAGACGCCACAGCTCATGCTGCTCCTTGGAGAGCAGAGAGTTAATACAGCAGAAAGTATCGAAAGGCCCAAGTGGCTCCTCATCCAGGAAAAGCCATTGAGAAGATGGCTGATTTCCACCGTCTACACCTCCTCTTGACAACTTGGCTATTTAAAATTGTAACTTAGTTATCATTAGTATCTTTTATGAATGTTGGGATTTGGAATCTTATATGCAATTTGAATTTATACATCTGGAATTAGAGATGCCGCTTCAATATTTTCTTAGATGGATGCTTGTAATCAAGTCATGATTACAAATTTTCTTTTTAAAGTGAAAAAGTACAAGAAGTGGATGTGTATTTCCTAAGGGATATGAGATACAGGATGCAAAGATTTGGGGAGAATTTCCTCTAGCACTCAGATTTATTTAGTTAGAAAATGGAGCAACCCATTGCACCATTGTGGACTTCAGCCCCAGTGTGCGTGCTGTGCTCACGCTGATATTCTCGTCTCTCTGTCCCTGTCTCTCTGTCTCTGTGTGTCTCTCTCACACATACACAAATTTGGGTGATTTGCTTTGAATTTTTGACATACTTCATATACTTTGAAAGAGAATTATTGTCCTCTTATTGTGTTCTTTCCAACCCTTTTGCAAGGTAGTATTGGCTAGCTCATTTTGATGGTTACTTTTTAAAAGTGAAATGTAAAAACACCGTGCCTTTCTTACAGGATATGAATCAAAGTTCACAAGATTCTCTGCCAACAAAAACTGTAATAGAACTGAGTGCAAAGGAGCCAAGGTAAGTCTCTAATTCCTCACAGACATTTTGCCACCTCCCTGGCAAGTTTTGTTCATGTGGTTCTGACCTTTAATCAGCACATATTTTTAAGGAAGTTTTTCTTTAAATCAATTAAATTTTTTTTCTGAAGAAATATGTTTTCTTCCATGACAGTCATATTCAGTGCTCAGAACTAACTTGACTCAGTGATTACTGTGTTTATGATTGTAATATTTTTATAAATGGAAGTAAAGGGATGGTAAATATGTAGCTTGTGGTCCAACCATTTCCTTACCTTTGTAATACTGTTTTTAGATTATTGCATTTCTGCATTGGCCTTTCCTGAAGCTTCTTGATTTTCATTAATCCCAGATCCTAATTAGTTTAAAGAAAGAGAATTTAATAACTGGAAGATCACAGTTTCTTCTCTTAAATTTTCATTGGGAAACTACCCCGTTGCTCATTAGACTGCAGTGTTGGTGATGTCCACTGAAGCAAACAGTCGGGTTGTTTATTAAATAAAAGCCAGGGTAACTAGTAGCTGCCTGTGATTTATAAAGACATGCATCTGGGCCTCTCTCACCCTTCTGTGTTTACTGACCAAGTATCCCTCAGTTACTACCCATGAACCTAGGCGTGTGGTATCTTTTCACGACATAAGTTAATTTTTATATTTTAATTAAGAAACTTAGTGTTACCTCTTGCAAGTTGAAGGGTAATTTTTTTTTACGTTAATCCATGATTTTTAACTTAAGTATGATTTATTAAAATTGTGGAAAATAAATGCAGTAGCATTAGAGACAATTTATAGTGCTCATGATGTTGAGGTTTTGATGAAGCACTCAGCAAATCCATGGTTGTTGAATTTCTTCAGTAATGAGAGACTCATGCAGATGGCACTGTAGAAGAAATAGGGGTTCTTTACTTACTTGGGTGCTCAGAAATTCTGCTGAGGTCATTAAATCTTCTACTGCCAGATCAGAGTATGGAAGGCTAATGGCCTGGGAAGAATCATCAATTATAAAATATTCTCTTTGTTTTAAAAGAAATAATGTTTGAATGTGTTTGCTGCTAGATGTCTGCTTCTTAGCTATCCTATATTAAGAAGCCTTTTGGCTTGAATAACCATAGTAACTTCTTTTCTATCTTCTGTTTTGACCTGGGAAGATCTTTGGTTTTGCTGGCCCTAAGGATCCTAAGTGCTTCAACAAGTGACTCTGACAGATGTCATTTCTGCCCTCCCTGGTTGCCTGTTGTGGTGGGTTGCTGTAGGCTGGGGTCTCAGCGGGTCCGAGGGAGAGTCTGGGCCTTGGGCAGGACATAGGTAATTTAGCCTTCCCTTAGCTAGAGGAAGGAGGGTAGAACTGCATCTCTTATAGTGATGGAGAAGGGTTTTACTTGTGGATTAGCGCAGACGGAATCTTTAAGGCTTCTGGTCAAAGATGCCCCTGAGTAGCTTATATTTAAGCAGTGTTTATATCTACTGTCATCTCTTCATGGGACACTCCTGAGAAAGGTCGCTGCGGCCGCTTCTGTAATTTGATTGTCGAGGTCTGTTTCTGCCTCTCTTTTGTACTTGAGAATGTCGTGACCACACCTACTTATTTTTTGTCTTAAAAATCTAGTTTTTATTTGGTAGCTACAAATTACTTTAGTTACTGATAATGCTAGTAAAAAAAAAAAATCGCCACTGAACAAAAAGAATGACAGTGGCCTTTAAAAGTGGAAGGACTCAACAGTTTTACTTCGCTGGTCTTTAAACTGAAACTTTTAGAATTGTGATGCTGAGAGTGTCTCAGAGTCTTCGTAAATCTTCTAGAATGTTCCGGACTTAGCTTTAATTATAAGTGCAGTTCTCATTTGAGTAGCAAATTATTAATGTAAATAAACCAAACATTCACAGTAGGGAAGATGACACCCAGAGGGTGTAAAATAGTATTCTTATTTATATATATAAAATACAGATGCATTTGGTAAACAGTTACATGTAGTATTAATATTAGGTGGGTGATTAGAAAATAAATTCTAAAAAGAGACTCAGGGAATTGATATGTTAAAAAAAAGTAGGGAGGGTTCTGGTATAAACCTATAAATTTAAATAATGCACGCAAATGAATTTGATCATGTCTTTGGTGCTGTTAATTGTGACTATGACCTAATATAATTTACTTCATATTCAGAAAGTAGTGCAAGTGACATCAGTACCTGCTGATGTGTGTGGTTAATTTCCAAGGCTTCCTGAGCTACTTAGTTTTGGAATCCATAGATTTTGTATAGAATTACATAATAAGAATTACAGTGTACGAACCCAAGAAATGCTTGAGTTCAGAAAGAATTTTTTTCTTTCTCTTTCCCCTACAGTTTTCTAAGGAAGCTGACTATACAGACCCCGTAATAAAAAGTTTAGTGTCTCAGAGGACACTGATAGTGCAGGATGTGCAGGTAATTCGGGTCACATCCATCTATTCTGGGTCCATCTATTCAGGAAAGACAGGAATGAACTTCTCTGTCACACGGGCCAGGACACCATGCACTTTGACCTTTTGTAAAGGCAGGTTCTCTGTAAGGTAGATTTTCTGAAACATCACTGAGAATGAAAACAAATTCATGTAAAGGTAACTTCATAAACCGGTGAATGGGAAATTTTCAAGTTAAATACTTTGTTTCACTTCATTTATGATGTTGTAGCAGAAAACTAGACTGACCATGGATTTAAATGGTTCATGTTCTCCTGGTTGGAACGTCCAAGGTGGAGGAGCTATATCTGAGGAGGGCCTCTATGCTGAGCCATCCCATGGTGCTGAGTCATCCCATTGTGTTGAGCCATGCCATCCCATGGTGCTGAGTCATCCCATGGTGCTGAGCCATCCCATGGTGCTGAGTCATCCCATGGTGCTGAGCCATCCCATGGTGCTGAGCCATCCCATGGTGCTGAGTCATCCCATGGTGCTGAGTCATCCCATGATGCTGAGTCATCCCATGGTGCTGAGTCATCCCATGGTGCTGAGTCATCCCATGGTGCTGAGCCAATCCATTGTGCTGAGCCATCCCATGGTGCTGAGCCATCTCATTGTGCTGAGTCATCCCATTGTGCTGAGCCAATCCATTGTTCTGAGCCAATCCATTGTTCTGAGTCATCTCATTGTGCTGAGGCATCCCATGGTGCTGAGTGAGTCATCCCATGGTGCTGAGTCATCCCATTGTGCTGAGCCATCCCATGGTGCTGAGCCATCCCATGGTGCTGAGTGAGTCATCCCATGGTGGAAGGTGGGATCCAAGAAGTAGCTTTGGTAGTGGTAAATGCATCATTTTATCAGAAACTACTTTCAATTAATGAACCCATTCCTCTGATAATAGCCAGTCTGTTCATGAGGGCAAAGCACAGATTGCCTAACCACATCTTCAGGGTCTCAGCATTCAGCACTGTTTGCTTACTTAGGACAAGAATGTTCAAACCATGGCAGATGATTTTAGTTTGAGATAAATATATTTAAACTATTTTTAGTATTCTGACCCACCCCTTGGAGACCTGCCCAGCGTCCTGATGTAGAATCCCCTTTAAAAAATAAAACTGCCCCTTCCCCTCTTCTCCATTCCCATGGGGTGTGTACCCTCGACCCTTCTCCTCCCTCCTTCTTCCTCTCCCTCTCTCTTTCTTTATATCTTTCTATCAAATAAACATTCTCCACGTGGATGCAGTGCCTGGGGTGTGAGTGACTGACTGTCTCCCCGGCATGTTTCTGTCACTTGAGGGACATCCTTGGCCTGGTCAGCCAGAGCCTCCCTTGTGCAGTATCGTAACAACTACTATTACAAATTTACCTGTAAGAGGTTTTAAGAGGTAAGGTATTTATTAGCAAATAATCATTTTCTCCCCTTTTTCCATTTCTTCTGTTCCTCCCTTTTTTCTGCTTTCCTTCCTCTCTTCCTTTAAAAGAGGGGGAGGAGAGAGAGAAAGAAACAGAGAGAGAAGTGTGGGATTAACCTGATACAGAAGTCAGTGGTTTGTGTCAACAGCACTATCAACACAGCAGAAATAAAATCTACCTAATTCAGACAAGGCCCTCCTTATTGGCCTTGCCCTTTGCTGGTTGGATGACCCTTCCTGGTACCTCCCACACTCATTTAACATCCTTGGGTTATCTACACCTGTGTTTTCCTTTTGAATTCCAATCTGCTAGATAGCCTTATTCTCTTTTTGTTTCTCTTTTCTGACCCCAGAATTCATTTTGACCTCACCTTTGTTCATTTCTTATATTTTGTGAGTGTAAAGTCTCCTGACTTTTACCTCTGCTCTCCCCTGACATCCATCTCCTCCCATCACTCTTGTTCTTAGCTGCTCCATCTCCTTCCATCTTGTTCTTAGTTACTCCATCCTTCTATCACTCTTGTTCTTAGTGGCTCCATCTCCTTTCATCATCTTGTTCTTAGCGGCTCCATCTCCTTCCATCATCTTGTTCTTAGCTGCTCCATCTCCCTCCATCACTCTTGTTCTTAGCGGCTCCATCTCCTTCCATCATCTTGTTCTTAGCAGCTCCATCTTCTTTCATCACTCTTGTTCTTAGCTATTCTATCTCCTTCCATCACTCTTGTTCTTAGCTGCTCCATCTCCTTCCATCATCCTTGTTCTTAGCTGCTCCATCTCCTTCCATCATCTTGTTCTTAGCTGCTCCATCTCCTTCTATCATCTTGTTCTTAGCTGCTCCATCTCCTTCCATCATTCTTATTCTTAGCTGCTCCATCTCCTTCCATCATCTTGTTCTTAGCTGCTCCATCTCCTTCCATCATTCTTATTCTTAGCTGCTCCATCTCCTTCCATCATCTTGTTCTTAGCTGCTCCATCTCCTTCCATCATTCTTATTCTTAGCTGCTCCATCTCCCTCCATCACTCTTGTTCTTAGCTGCTCCATCTCCTTCCATCATCTTGTTCTTAGCTGCTCCATCTCCTTCCAACATCTTGTTCCTAGCTGCTCCATCTCCCTCCATCACTCTTGTTCTTAACTGCTCCATCTCCTTCCATC